AGAAGTGACTGGACAGCCATTTGTTCTGAATTGGAATAGGGTCTCCTTCTTGAGCAGGGGGTTGGACTAGAAGATCTCCAAGGTCCCTTCCACCTTTATTCTATTCTGAAGGCATCAGGCTGGAAACTGAAACTGAACATAGAATAATACGGTTGGAAGGAACATTGGAGGGTTTTTCCAAAGTCAGTAAAATGAGGACTCAGATTGTTGGGGACAATAGGCTGACTCTGTCAACCGCTTAGAGAGGGCTGTAAAAGCACTGTGAAGCAGTATAGAATAGAATAGAACTGGAACGGACCTTGGAGGTCTTCTAGTCTAACCCCCTGCTCAAGCAGGAGAAGCTACACCAGTGATGGCGAACCTTTTAGAGACCGAGTGCCCAAACTGCAACCCAAAAACCACTTATGCATCATTGGGTGCCGGGTGGGCATGGCCCATTGGGTGGGCGTGGTAACGGCAGACTGGGTGGGACTAAAAAGTTCAATCAATCAATTCCAGCTTTTTTTTCCTGCGAGAAGTTGAAATTGACTGATTGATTGAATATTTATTTTTTTTTTGCACACGGCGGCGGAGGCCTAAAGCGAAAAGATTTTATAAAACCCAGCTGAAGGCCTAGGACTGGGGCGACGATGCGCGTGCCCACAAAGAGGGGTGTCACCTCTGGTACCCGTGCCATAGGTTCGCCACCACTGACCTACACCATCTCAGACAGGTGCTTGTCTAGTCTTTTCTTAAAAATCTCCAGTGATGGAACAGCCATGATTTCTGGTTGATTGTCTTCACTGTTAGGAAATTTCTCCTTAATTCCAGCTTGCTTCTCTTCTTGATCAGTTTCCAACCATTGTTTCTTGTCCTTCCCTCTGGTGCTCTGGTGAACAACCTGACCCCCTCTTCCTTGTGGCAGCCCCTCAAATACTGGAACACTGCTATCATGTCTCCCCTATTTCTTCTTTTCTTTAGACTACTAGCCAAACCCAAGTCCTGCAGCCGTTCTTCATGTGTTTTGGTCTCCAGGTCTTGGATCATCTTAGTTGCTCTTCTCTGAATTTTTTCCAAACTCTCAACATCTTTTTTGTGATATGGTGACTAAAATTGGCTGCAATATTCCAGGTGTGGCCTCATTAGGGTTTTATAAAGCGGTACTACTACTACTACTACTACTACTACTACTACTACTACTACTACTACTACTACTACTAATAATAATAATAATAATAATAAAAAATTGGAAGGGACCTTGGAGGTCATCAAGTCCAACCCCCTGCTCAGGCAGGAAACCCTACACCATTTCAGACAAATGGCTGTCCAGTCTCTTCTTAAAAACTTCCAGTGTTGGAGCATTCACTGCTTCTGGAGGCAGATTGTTCCACTGGTTAATTGTTCTCCCTGTCAGGAAATTCCTCCTTAGTTCCAGGTTGCTTCTCTCCTTGATTAGTTTCCATCCGTTGCTTCTTGTCCTGCTTTCAGGAGCTTTGGAGAATAGCTTGACTCCCTCTCCTTTGGGGCAGCCCCTGAGATATTGGAACACTGCTATCATGTCCCCCCTCGTCCTTCTCTTCATTAAACTAGACATTCCCAATTCCAGCCACCGTTCCTTATATGTTTTAGCCTCCTGTCCCCTGATCATCTTTGTTGCTCTTCTCTGTACTCTTTCTAGAGTCTCAACATCTTTTTTATATCGTGGTGACCAAAACTGGATGCCGTATTCCAAGTGTGACTTTACCAAGGCATTGTAAAGAGGTATTAATACTTCACGGGATCTTGATTCTATCCCTCTGTTAATGCAGTCTAGCACTGTGTTGGCTTTTTTGGCAGCTGCTGTATAGAAGTTTACATAGACATCTAAATGCTATTGCTAGCTTAGGCACAAAGCCGGCTGGGTGATCTTGGGCCAGTCACTCTTTCTCAACTTCAGGAATGAGACAATGGCAAAGTCCTTTTGAAAAACCTTGCCAAGAAAACTGCAGGGACTGGTCCAGGCAGTCTTCAAGAATTGAATAGGATGAAACAGAAAGAAAAAGAAAGAAAAATTGGTTTAAAGCTGCCATCTGCTGAGGGAGTTCGGTACTGATTTTTATAAGCCACGTTTTCTCAAATTGTTGTTGAATAAACCAGAGTTTATAAACCAGAGCTCCAGTAAGTCTTGATTCTTTTCTTTGAGTCCTGCATTTGAATGCACATCATGATAAGATAGATAGATAGATAGATAGATAGATGATAGATAGATAGATGATAGATAGATAATTTACAGATGATAAATGGTAGATAGATAGAGATAGTTAGATAGGATAGAAAGATAGGACAGAGAGAGAGAAGAGAGAGAGAGGTAGGATAGACAGCAGCAGGCATATCTGCTTACATGCACAGTTCTATTTACACAGGCAGTGGGTGCATGTGCGCACTGCTTGCAAAACCGGAGCATGAGCTCCTACTGCTTGCAAAACAGGAGCATGAGCTCCTACTGCTCAAGCAAATGCTTCTCCCACTGCTTGCATGGCCTGGTTCTGATTGGGCCACAGGCCGGGTATTTCTAAGATCTGTGGACTTCCGCTCCCAGAATTCTGTTTGGACTTCAGCTCCCAGAATTCTAAGATGCATGGACTTCAACTCCCAGAATTCTGTTTGGACTTCAGCTCCCAGAATTCTAAGATGCATGGACTTCAACTCCCAGAATTCTGTGTTTGGACTTCAGCTCCCAGAATTCTAAGATGCATGGACTTCAACTCCCAGAATTCTGTTTGGACTTCAGCTCCCAGAATTCTAAGATGCATGGACTTCAACTCCCAGAATTCTAAAGTGTTTGGACTTCAACTCCCAGAATTCTGTTTGGACTTCAGCTCCCAGGATTCTGAGATGTGTGGACTTCAATTCCCAGAATTCCCCAGCCAGGTTTGCCAGCTTCAGTTCTGGGACTTGAAGTTCACAGATCTTAAATTTTCTGAGGTTGAAAAACACTAGGTTGACCTGTTGCCTATACTATGAATCTGCAAGAAAGATAAAGGAGTTATCTTTTTCTATTTTTCTATTTTTTTCCCTAAATGTCCCCAAGAGTGTAGATGATATTTTAAAATTCCTTTGCTAGTCATCATAAGCTGGTAACTGTAAAAGCAACCTACATCAAAACAAGGTGGTTGTTTAAAGCTCCACAAGAGAGAGAGAGAGAGAGAGAGAGAGAGAGAGAGAGAGAGAGAGAGAGAGACAAACCACAAGAAAGGTTTAATATTCTTTTTATTATTAACATTATTTAGTTTGGAAAGCATTATGAAAAATACACACTTTACAAGGGTATAGGGAGAGAGAGAGAAAATGCAATTGATTGTTTGAATGGCATTCTTTGAATGGATGCTTTAATTTTAAAGATGCTCACCAAATGTGTCCCAGTGTTGGAAGTGTCCGACTTACTCCTAAGTAAATCTTGAAGTGGTGCATAATGTCACAAAATGATCAGATTCTATTCCATTCCATTCCATTCCACTCCACTCCACTCCACTCCACTCCACTCCACTCCACTCTACTCTACTCTACTCTACTCTACTCTACTCTACTCCATTCCATTCCATATTTTATATTCTATTCTGTTCTGTTCTGTTTTGTTCTTTCTTGTATAGATTCCACCTCTAGAGGAATCTAGAGGGCAGCACCACTAGTGAAAAATATTAACCAAAGTTAATTAATAGTAAGCCAAAATTGGCTTTTGTCAAATAATTTGTGGCCAACTGATTTGGGAAAAAGTTGGCATTGGCGTGTGTGTGTGTGTGTGTGTGTGTGTGTGTGTGTGTGTGTGTAAATAAATATATTTATTAACTTTATATGCTGCCCATCTTACTATTGAGTTTTTTGGGCAATATTGCTGAAAAAAAAAACCTTTTACCTTCTCTAAGTAAAACCAACCCTTATTCAGCCATGAACCCAACCAGCATAAGACCAAACCCAATTCCATAGGGCTGAATGTTGCCTGTAAACCCAATCCTTGTCAACTGTACATCATGTTCTTATGGCCCAGCACATTGTGTGAGTCCAGGCAGTTTAACTAGCAAACCCTGGATTGCATGACACCAGGCATTCATTTCTACACAATTCACCACATGTGAAATATAATTCCTTTATGTTGGAAACAGCCAGCTTATCCACAATTGAGCTTAATAAGGAGGAGGTCCAAGTATAAACCCAAAGGTGCTTTTTTTTTTTCAGGAGACAACTAGACATTCTTGTTTTTCTTTTGAAGACGTTTCGCTTCTCAATCCAAGAAGCTTCTTCAGCTCTGACCGGATGGTGGGGAATGGAAGGATTTATACTCCTTGCAGACAGCCGGTCATTTGCATCTTTTCAGAGAGAGCCGTTGAGGCCACTTGGAGGTTTAGCTGTGCAAATGGGTGTGGAGTCTTCTTGGAACTGCTGTGTTGTGGAGCTGTGTTTTCTGCAGAATGTTTTCTGCCCTGGGTCACTGTGGAAGACAGGCGAAGGCTGTTGGGGATGAGTCCGTGTTGTCCATGTTGTCTGCGTCTCAAACTGAAGCGCAAATGGTTCCCAGTTTCCATTTGCACCACTCACTGAGGACACAGATAAACCTCCAGGTGGCCTCAATGACTCTCTAAAAGAAGGCAAATGACCAACTGTCTTCAGGGAGTATAAATCCTTCCATTCCCCACCCTTCAGTCGGAGCTGAAGAAGCTTCTTGGAGGAGAAGCGAAATGTCTTCAAAGGAAAAACAAGAAAGTCTAGATGCCTCTTGAAAAAGCAGCTTTGGGACAGCCGTGGCCTGGATGACTGAGAATCTCCACAGATGTCCAAGTGTAAAGTAAGCCCTAAGTAGATTTCCTTGCAAACAAGGTTGTTGTCAACGCTGCAAATATTATATATTCTTGCTTTATGACAATATGAATTGTCTGGTAATTATGGGGTTAATACAGAGCAGAAGGGGCGTTGGGGGTAAAGCCCAGGAAAGAAAGAGGAAGAAAACCTTTGACCTTCACACTAATTGGATAATGTGAGATATGACTGCTCAGAGGAAGAGAACTTAGATCCTAGCATCCCTCCGTTGTGCCTGTGCTGACATTTTGTAACAATAAAAGACTTTTAGGAAAATAAATGCCTGGAAGTTCTTTGGAATGTTTCATTAGCAGGAACCACAACAGTTGTTTCAAGCAAGAAGGAAGGCTTGGAGTTCTTCTCCTGGGAGGAGTAAACCACCACCCAGAGGGCTATTTCTCAACTCTGCAGCAACGCATCTTGCGATCCGCTGCGCACAACCTTGGTCACTCCTGTGGGCTGGCGTTTGCAAGGAGCAATTGCAAAGGAATCACAAACATCTGCAAAATCATGACTGGGGAGGAAAGGAGAATCAGGCCCTTGACCCAAGAAAAGGTCCATGTAGGTCGGACACAACCGAGGTGTTCCCAGAACTAGGCTGGACTATTAGTTGAAAGTATTGATGCAGAGTCAAGAAGCAAGAGAGAAATTCTTTTTAACCTACAATTTTCCAGGATCGGTTGGAGACCTCCCTGGGGGAGCTACCACGAGCTCATGCAGTCTCTCATCACAGCTTGGCTCCCAGGATGTAGAAGATACTGACCAAGGTGCCCACCAGCAGCAACAAGGAGCTGGTCTTCACACCGACAGCACCACTTACGTTGCAGAAGGACTGATCACAGCATTTCATTGAGAAAGCCATCATACCGACATCAAACTGTACATCGGGGCACGTGGCAGAACACCCTTTGGAGATCAATTGCTTGTGATTGTCACCTGCAGGTCAGGAAGAAAATTAACACGATTATTTTGTCTCCATCATTTATACTTTTTTTTCCTCCCCATGAGTGGCTGATTGAAATAATAAGACTGGCTGTTCTAAAAGAACGAAAAGGAAGGAATACACAGTTGGCTTATTTGATCAAAGTTGAAATAAGACTCTTGGGGGGGGCAGTTTTGGCAACCCTTTATCGATATTTTGATGGCACCAGTATTGAAAAATTGATGTTTTATGGCTTAGCTTATAGATCAATGGGATATGGAATGAAGAGATATCTGTTTAACTTTATAAGGGGTGAACAGTTATTAACTTTGCTTATAGTTGCTCTGATGAAGATTGGAACTCATAGATGATAGATAGATAGATAGATAGATAGATAGATAGATAGATAGATAGATAGATAGATAGATAGATAGATAGATAGATATAGAGGTAGGTAGGTAGGTAGGTAGGTAGGTAGGTAGGTAGGTAGATAAGATAGATAGATAGATAGATAGATAGATAGATAGATAGATAGATAGATAGATAGATAGATAGATAGATTAGATAGATAGATAGATAGATAGATAGATAGATAGATAGATAGATAGATAGATAGATAGATAGATAGATAAACCCGAATAACCAAAGACATACATACATACATACATACATACATACATACATACAAAAATAATGTCTTGACATATTTGGGTCTTTTCCCATGTAAGATTGAGAGTATGATTGGTGATGTTTCGACTAGGTCCCACTCGTCATCTTCAGGTTGGGGTCTTCGGCTTCGTGCTTGTGTGAGCAAAGTGTGATCGGAGCTGCTGTCTCTCTATAAATATTGGTGGGGGTGTGTGTGGAGTGCTGGCTCAGTTGCTGTGGGTGGGTTGGTTGGCTGTGTTGGAGTTATCGTTTGTGGATTGTTTGGCTGTTTCATAACATCCTGAGTAGCTGAGGTGCTGGCTGTGTGCCCATTAGTCTTTTGTGTTGTAACGACCTGGGTAATGGGTTGTGTGATGGCATCCTGAGATCTGGTGTAGTGATATCCTGAGTTCTGTATTGCAACGTCCTGGGTGGTTGGCTGTGTTGTAACATCCTGAGCTTTAGCCAACACAGCCAACCACCCAGGATGCTGCAACACAAAATACACAGCATACGTTTATTAATCTCCAACGGATTCCAAAGAAATACTATTACCAACCTAATCCAAAGGGAAACACCCCCCAAGAACCGAGACATAGACCAGTACAATGACATTGCCCTTCTCCCCTACATCAAAGGGAGCACAGATAAAATCAGCAAAATTCTCCACAAACACAATATCAAGACAGCCTTCAGCACCAACCAAAAAATAGCCAACATCTTAAGAAACCCCAAAGACATGATCCAGCTAGAAAACCAAGAAGTCTATGAAATACCATGCAAAATCTGCCCAGCCAGATACACTGGACAAACTAACAGGAGAATAAATGCACGCATCACAGAACACAAGAACGCAGTCAGAAAAGAAGAAAAAACTTCCTCCCTCTTCCAGCACCTTAAAGCTACAGGACATGAAATTGATTTTGAAGGAACCAAACTAATCTCCAAAACTGAATACCACAACAGGAGAATAATTATGGAAATCGAAATAGAAAAACATCCCCACAACATGAATAAACGTGACGATACCTCCCGCCTACCAGACACCTGGAAACTAGCCCTAATCAACAAACGAGTCTTAGCCATGAAAACTGACACTGGACCCAGAACTACACAGCACGCCACCACCATTCACCCTCACCAGACCCAAACCCAAGCCCAAACCCATCCCTCAGATGAAATGCAACCACCATCCAGAAGCCAAACCATGATGACATCACCAGCTGCTACACCTCCATCCAACCCCCACACAAAGCAAACAGACACATGCCATGAACACAGAGCTAGATCGCAAACTCAGAGCCAAACCAAAGCCCGATATGTTACATCACAGCCTTCTACTCTGGACATCACATCACAGAACTCAGGAGGTTACAATGCTAAAGCTCAGGATGTTACAACACAGTCAACCACCCAGGATGTTGCAACACAGAACTCAGGATATCACTACACTAGATCTCAGGATGTCATCACACAGCCCATTACCCAGGTCATTACAACACAAAAGACTAATGGGCACACAGCCAGCACCTCAGCTACTCAGGATGTTGCAAAACAGCCAAACAATCTGCAAACAATAACTCCAACACAGCCAACCAACCCATCTACAGCAACTAAGCCAGCACTCCACACACACCCCACCAATATTTATAGAGAGACAGCAGCTCCGATCACACTTTGCTCGCACAAGCATGAAGCCAAAGACCCCACCCTGAAGATGATGAGTGGGACCTAGTAGAAACGTCGCCAAGACACTCTCAATCTTACACGGGAAAAAACCCGAATACGCCAAGACATTATTTTTGTATGTATGTATGTACGTATGTATGTATGTATGTATGTATGTCTTTGGTTATCCGGGTTTTCTCCCGTGTAAAATTGGAAGTGTCTTGGTGACGTTTTGACGAAGTCCCATTTGTCATCTTCAGGCTGGTGTTTTCAGCTTCATGTTTCTAGGAGCAATGTGTGATCGTAGCTGTTTCTTCCTTTTAACTGCCAGTGGGGTGTGTGAACTGATTGGGTGGGAGCTTGGCTGTGTTCTGATTGGGTGGAGGAGTGTTCTGATTGGTTAGGGGCTTGACTGTGCTCTGATTGGATGGGGTTTGGCTGTGCTCTGATTGGATGGGGGAGTGTTCTGTTTGGGTGGGGGCTTTGTTGTGCTTGGGTTAGTCTGAGTTGCAGGGGGGTTTAAAATGATGAGCTGCGTTGCTGTTGTTTGGCTTTGCATTCGTGGTCATGCCTCATCTTCATGGTGAGTGTCAGTTTGCTTCGTGTATGGATTAGAGGGGTTTAAAGTGGCTAATGATGCAGTTGTGGTCTGGATTCTGGTTTGTGGTCGTGCCTCATCATCGGTGTGGGTTTGGGTTTGCTTTTTGCATGAATGTATGGTGGTGACATCCTGTGTGGTTTTCGTGAGTGTGGGTCTGGTATCATTCTTTGTGTTAGGGACTCGTTTGTCAATAAGGGCAGGTTTCCAAATGGCTGGTAGGCGGGAGGTATCATCTTGTTTATTCATGCTGTGTGGGCGTTTTTCTATCTCGATGGCTTCTCTGATTATTCTTTTATTAAAGTGTTCAGTTTTAGCGATAGTTCTGGTCTTTTTAAAGTCAATTTCATGTCCTGTGGCTTTAAGGCGTTGGACCAGGGAAGAAGTTGGTTCCTCTTTTTTGACTGAGTTCTTATGTTCTTCAATGCGTACACTTATTCTTCTGTTGGTTTGTCCGATGTATGTGGTGGGACAAGCGGTGCATTGGATTTCATATACTCCTTGGTTTTCTAACTCAATTTTGTCTTTGGGGTTTCTTAGGATGGTGGATATTTTTCTGTTTGTGCAGAATGCTGTCTCGATGTTGTGTTTGTGGAGGATCTTGCTGATTCTGTCTGTGGTGCCTTTTATGTATGGGAGGAGGGCTTTGATATCAATCAAAGCACATATTTTTTAAAATTGGTAAATCAATTTGCTTATCAAAAATATGAGCTTTGATTGATTTACCAATTTAAAAACTATGTGCTTTGATTGATTTAATTTTTGATAAGCAAAAAGATGTGCTTTGTTAACCCAAGAAACTTCTAAGAATCTGTTTTGAAAGACCACCTCTTGCAGAATGAAGATTGCAATGCTGAATGAAACAACAGTAAAGTAAAAAAAAAGTAGAACTTTTTGGCACAGCAATCAAACAAGGCAGACACAGACTTCAACGGATAATTAGAACTTTAAGAAAAAACAATTGCTACCAGCCTACCTTCCATTGAGGATCCATATATTGCACGGGTCAGAAAGAGGGCTGAGAAAATAACTACAGACCCCTCACCAGTGGTGGAATTCCGCCGGTTCGCACCACTTCGGCAGAACTGGTAGCTAATTTTTTGTTGCCCAGGCCCAGAATGGATGTCCGGAAGTGGCATCCATGCAGAGAACCGGTTGTTCATCTATTTGAATCCAGTGGTGGAATTCAAATATGTGAACAACCGGTTCTCTGTAGGGATGCTACTTCCAGAAGTCCACTCTGGGCCTAGGCAACAAAAAATTAGTTACCAGTTCTGCCGAAATGGGATGAATTGGCTGAATCCCACCATTGTTTGAATCCCACCACTGCCCCTCATATCCTGGAGATAATTGTTCCAACTTCTGCCCTTGATATCAAACCTATAGGGCATGGCAGGCCAAAACAACTAGACACAAGGACAGTTTCCCCCCCCCATGCTATTACTCTGCTAAACAACTAATTCTCACAACACTGTCAAACTATGTACTAAGGCTATATTACTATTATCCTTATCTTCTTATGGCTATAACTTTCTGGCTTGTATCTTACAATTTATATTGTTTTATTTAGTAACCTAGTATGATTTATGTTGTTTGCTTATTTATATCCTATGACTATCACTGAGTGTTGTATCTTATGATTTAGGATGAATGTAGTTTTATGATGATTATTTATCACTTGTTGCTTTTATACACAGACTGAGAGTTACCCACCGGACAAAAATTCCTTGTGTGTCCAATCACACTTGGTCAATAAAAAATATTCTATTCTATTCTATTCCATTCCATTCTAGTCCAGTCCATATTTTCTTTTCTATTCTATTCCATATTTTCTATTCTATTCTATTCTGTTCTGTTCTGTTCTGTTCTGTTCTGCTCTGCTCTGCTGTGCTCCGTTCAGTCATGTCCTGTCATGTCCTGTTCTGTTTGGTCCTGTCCTGTCCTGTCATGTCCTATTCCAGTCCAGTCCAGTCCAGTCCAGTTCAGTGTAGTCCAGTCCGTATTTTCTATTCTATTCTATTCTATTCTATTCTATTCTATTCTATTCTATTCTATTCTATTCATTCCATATTTTCTATTCTATTCTATTCATTCCATATTTTCTATTCTATTCTATTCTATTCATTCCATATTTTCTATTCTATTCTATTCTATTCTATTCTATTCTATTCTATTCTATTCTATTCATTCCATTCTATTCTTTTCCAATCCATATTTTCTTTTCTATTCTATTCCATTCTATTCCATATTTTCTATTCTATTCTATTCTATTCTATTCTATTCTATTCTGTTCTGTTCTGTTCTACTCTGCTCTGCTCTGTTCAGTCATGTCCTGTCATGTCCTATTCCAGTAGAGTCCAGTTCAGTTCAGTGTAATCCAGTCCATATTTTCTATTCTATTCTATTCTATTCTATTCTATTCTATTCTATTCTATTCTATTCTACTCATTCCATATTTTCTATTCTATTCTATTCTATTCTATTCTATTCTATTCTATTCTATTCTATTCTATTCTATTCTTCCATTCCACTCCACTCCATATATACTATTCTATTCTATTCATTCCATATTTTCTATTCTATTCTATTCTATTCTATTCTATTCTATTCTATTCTATTCTATTCTATTCTATTCTATTCTATTCTAGTGTAGTCTAGTTAATCTATTCTAGTCTATTCTAGTCTATTCTATTCTAGAATGAAAAGTTCCCAGAGGGCTGCATCCACTTACCTTTACCTCCACCAAAATATTTTGTTGTGCAATGTCGCTGGTCTTCACCACAGCTCTCCACATGATAGCATTGCGCGTTATCTTCCACTTTGTCGCACTTGAAGCAGTAGAGCGAAGACACTGCAAAGCGCCGCATAGAAGCAAACACAGAGACACACAGGCATTAGAACAATGTCATGAAATGGAGAGAGATCCTGGCAATTTTGCAGGCCTTATCAGCATCCTAAAATAAAAGCAAAAAACAGGAATACAGGTAGCCCTCGACTTACCGCAATGGGAACCCACACAAGTTCCGTTGCTAAACGAGATATTCGTTCAGTGGGTTTTGCCCCGTTTGATGACCTTTCCTTTCACAGTTGTTAAGTGAATCATGACAGATGTTAAGTTAGTCAGAAAGTCAGAAACTCACAAAAGAGGATCCCCTGACCCCGGGACACTGCAATCATCATCAATGTGAGTCAGCTGTCAAGCGTCTGAATTTTGATCACGTTGACTGTGGGGATATGGCATCAAGTCGCAGTTGTGAAAAAGAGATCATAAATCACTATCTTAGTGCTGCTGTTTGAACGGTCACTAAATGAATTATTCTTGCTTAGTAGTCGGAATAGAGCTGGAAGGGACCTTAAAGGTCTTCTAGTCCAACACCCTGCTCAGGTAGGAGACCCTAGACCAGGGGTGTCACACTCAATTTCATTGAGGGCCGCATCAGCATTGCGGTTGACCTCAGGGGGCTGGGTGAGTGTGGCCAGGGTGGGTGCAGCCTATACTGGGTGGGCGTGGATGGAGTGGTGTGGCCTACTGGGTGGGCCTGGGCAGGAGTGGGACAGATCTGAGGGTCTCTGGCAGAAGGGGGGGACCAGGGCAAGCGCCAAGGCATGGTCCACTGGAGGAGCCTCACTGTTCCTCTCAGGCCATGCGGAGAGGGGCTTATGGAGCTAAGACTGAATGCATTTCAGCATAGATGGCCACCACAAAATTGTACATGGGCTCCCAGCTGGCCTGGGCCAGGGCCAAGGCAGTGGGGGCCGTTCCCTCACTGTTTCCAGGATGGCTTCGCGGGCCACATGAAACCATTTTGCAGAGAAGAAGGAGCAGATAAGGAGAGAGACCCAGGCGACACGGTATTGAATAACTGGAGGTTGTCTAAATATTTATAGAAGTATATACCGAGAAGGTTAGATAAATCGAAGTATTAATGTAAGAGAAAATTAATCTTATTGTATATAATACAGATAGGGAAATTTGGAGAGAGGAGTTGCTGGGACATTACCCCCGAATTGTATTTAAGAGGGATAAGAGGGAAGAAAGGAGAGGAGAGAGAAAAGAGTGAAGGAGGGGAGAAGGAAGTAGGAAGATTGGAGGAGAAGAGGAGAAGTGGGGAGAAAGGGGAGGAGAAGGAAGGAAAGAGAAGAGGAGAGGAAGAAGAGGGAAGTAGGGAAGAGAAGAAAGGGAGAAAGAAGGTAGAGAAGAAGGAGTGTGGATACAGTGAAAGGGGAAATGGATGAGCAACACCAAAAGTCATGTGTATGTATTTCATTTTATTAAAAGTATCTTATATATGAATGTAAAAAGAATGTATGTTAACATCTGATAAATACCACGGTATATGTATGGGGGAGAGTTTGGAAAAATAAAAAATTATTATTAAAAAAAAAAAAAGAAACCACTTCACGGGCTGCATCCGGCCCCCGGGCCTTCTGTTTGACATGTCTGCCCTAGACCATTTCAGACAAATAGCTGTCCAGTCTCTTCTTGAAAAATCTCCAGTGATGAAGCACCCACAATTTCTGGAGGCAAGTGGTTCTACTGGTTAATTGTCCTCACTGTTATGACTGGAAGAGACCTCAGAGATCTTCTAGTCTTTAAATCATCTTGATCAACTGGTGGTCCAGTCAAGTTTCAAAAATCTCCAGGGAGAGAGCAGCCATGACCTCAGGAGACAAGATATTCCATTGATTAATTGCTCTCGCTGTCAGAAAATGTCTCCTAGATTGGATCTCTCCGTGTTATAGAAGAACAGAAGAAAAGAGTTGGAAGGGACCTTGGAGGTCATCTAGTCCAACCCCCTGCTCAGGCAGGAAACCCTATACCATTTCAGACAAATGGCTGTCCAGTCTCTTCTTAAAGACTTCCAGTGTTGGAGCATTCACCGCTTCTGGAGGCAGGTTGTTCCACTGGTTAATTGTTCTCCCTGTCAGGAAGTTTCTCCTTAGTTCTAGGTTGCTTCTCTCCTTGATCAGTTTCCATCCGTTGCTTCTTGTCCTGCCTTCAGGGGTTTTGGAGAATAGCTTGACTCCCTCTTCTTTGTGGCAGCTCCTGAGATACTGGAACACTGCCATCATGTCCCCCCTTGTCCTTCTCGTCATTAAACTAGACATACCCAATTCCAGCAACCGATCCTTGTATGTTTTAGCCTCCAGGGCTTCAATCATCTTAGTTGCTCTTCTTCGCCCTTTTTTTCAAAGCTTGTTGAATTGCTTGCCTTGATATCGATCTGCTTCCAGCATGATAAGGAAGAATGTAACCAAGGTTTTCTCCTTTTTAAAAAAAAAATAATAATGTGTAGATCTGGTTTATCTCAACTTGGATATATCAGAATGCTGGGCTTCTACAAGTTATCCAGCATTGTTGGATGTGGCTTGTGGCTTGAACTAAGAGAGTAATAGCTTCCCAGTGGAATGTGTGGTTAAATTCGTACATGTCTTAACGAAACCAAAGACTTTTCATCTTTCATCACGTCTTCCCCGCTGGTATTCATGGGGGTGTTCTGATACGAGCAACCCGCTGGCTTTTTTTTTTTTCTTTCGAAATGACCTCTTAGCAAAGATATAGGGCAAGATAATCTTCCAAACCATGTGTTCTACTCAGGCATTAGGGATGAAGCAACCCTAACCATTTTAATTTTCTGCCTTCCCGTGGAAGCCTCCTGGGCTGACCTATGTTCTTGTAGAAGAATGTTCTCACGAGATGGAGACAATGGAGAGTTGGATCTGCAGAAGAAGGCCTTAGTTGGAAATCCAAGGGAGTGGAGAAGGCCTGGATGGAAATACAACTGGGAGAGGAGGAGGAGGAGGGAGGGAGGGAGGGAAGGAGGGAGGGAGGAGGGGGGAGGAGGAAAGGAAGCAGAGAAGATGGAGGAAGAGGAAGAGGAGGAAAAGGAGGGGGAGGAGGAGGAAAGGAAGCAGAGGAGGAGATGGAGGAAGAAGAGGAAGAGAGGAGGAGGAGGAAGGGAAGCAGAGAAGATGGAGGAAGAGGAAGAGAGGAGGAGGAGGAAAAGGAGGGGGAGGAGGAGGAAAGGAAGCAGAGGAGGAGATGGAGGAAGAAGAGGAAGAGAGGAGGAGGAGGAAGGGAAGCAGAGGAGGACATGGAGGAAGAGGAGGAAGGGAGGAGGAGGAGGAAGTGTGGGTCCTTGGTGGTGCTCTCTGAGCTTGCAGACATTTCATTACCAATCTAGATAACATCATCAGTGCTAGGAGGGGAGGAGATTTGCAGGGAGGAGTTGTCCCATCTCTCTCTCTCTCTCTCTCTCTCTCTCTCTCTCTCTCTCTCTCTCTCTCTCTCTCTCTGTGTGTGTGTGTGTGTGCACGTGTGTGTGTGTGTGGATGAAAGTCAGGATGAAAGGCAGGGAGGGCTTCCTTCAGTACAGAACCCTGTTCTGAAGTCTGCATTGAACCTTTGCATTGCTGGAGTCTATTTTTTCCAGTTGGAAAGTCTACTCTTTGTGGGATGAGGAAGAGGAGGACTACGCGGTCCTTGGTGCTCTCTGGATTTGGTGGGTTTCTTGAAGATGTTTCATGACCCAGCTGGATAACATCATCAATGCTAGAAAGCAATGGGAGTGTTTGTGGAGAGAAGGAGGGGGAGGGGGGGGGTGAAGAAGATTTAGACCAGTGATGGCGAATCTTTTAGAGACCGACTGCTCCAAAACTGCCCCCGCCCTGCCCCCACTCCAGGACTCAATAGGTAGACAAAATGCCAAATCCAGTCTGAACATCTGGCTGACTGTGCGATGATCCATAATAATGATGATGATGATGATGATGATAAAGTTGGAAGGGACCTGGGACTTCATCAAATCCAACCCCCTGCTCAGGCAGGAAACCCTATACCATTTCAGACAAATGTCTGTCCAGTCTCTTCTTAAAAACTTCCAGTGTTGGAGCATTCACTGCTTCTGGAGGCAGGTTGTTCCACTGGTTAATTGTCCTCACTGTCAGGAAGTTTCTCCTTAGTTCCAGGTTGCTTCTCTCCTTGATTAGTTTCCCTGCCTTCAGGCACTTTGGAGAATAGCTTGACTCCCTCTTCTTTGGGGCAGCCCCTGAGATACTGGAAGATTGCTATCATGTCCCCCCCTCGTCCTTCTCTTCATTAAACTGGACATACCCAATTTCAGCAACTGTTCTTCATATATTTTAGCCTCCAGTCCCCAGATCATCTTTGTTGCTCTTCTCTGCACTCTTTCTAGAGTCTCGACATCTTTTTTACATCGTAATGACCAAAACTGGATGCAGGATTCCAAGTGTGGCCTGACTAAGGCCTTGTAAAGTGGTATTAATACTTCATCCTAACCCTAACCCTAACTCTCATCCTGCAATTGAAGTTCTCTGAAACATCTCCTCCCAATCAGAGCCTTATTTTAAAGGGACTCTTTGCCCTGCTCCTTTGCAGAAAAAAGGCAATTGGCTGGGAGGGATCTGCACAGGAACAACCTGTGCGTTTGTGTTTGTGTGTGTTTGCTTGAGGGTGGGGTGGGGATTACCATGACTTCACCCGGTTGCTGTTTGCTACTATTAACAGACTGCTATAATTGCTGGCAGTTTCTTTCCAAAATCCCTACTTAATTCCCATTCCATTAGTAGTGCTGGTGGGGATCATAATTACTATGTTGTAATGTTTACACCACTGATGGACACTCCAGGCAGGAAACAAAAGTCAGGGTTTTGTTTCTCATTTTCACTTGCAGGCGCACAAACATACACACACACACACACACACACACACACACACACACACACACACACACACCAGGTCTGGGACAGGAGAAAGATATTTGGTTGTGGTCTGGGGAAAAAAAAAAACCCACTAAATTTCCCTGTCTTTAAAATGCATTTGTTGTTTTA